ATCTGCTCCGATTTTGTACCGGTTAAGTAACTTAAGAAGAGAGCCAATCAAACCGGTTACCAACAGATACCTGACCGGATCAAAACTGTATGAAAACGAATCCATACCGGAGATTAAAACTAACTACAAGTCTTTTACAAATGCGACATTGATTTACATGTTAAGGTTCCAACGATTCTATCATTTCTGTTTTATGGGCCTAAATGAAAACCTAATTTTATGGGCCTATTCTGTTTAAATTCATCTGCTCCGATTTTATACCGGTTTTTAAGTATTTCATGATTTAAATGAGGCTATCATCATATAAGATAAAAAGGATTCTCTTTGCGTTGGGAGATCAATATAAGATTTGTAGTATCTTTTTTTTTGGTCAACATAAGATTTGTAGTATCTTGATCATGAGATTCAACTATAACCTTAGTTCCCTGAAAAACCAGACATGCTTTGTTGAATGAATCTAACAAAGTCTACCTTTAACAAAACACAACTTTAGGACCCAAACAATCTGATCTATGCATAATAATAATATACTCACAATGCAAGAATGGCAACAAAACTAGCTCATCTGACTTGCACAAAACTCGAGGACATCAAGCCGAACAGAATCCATATCTCGCTTGGTAACATCAGACTTAAGCATAAAACACATTTCAACTGTCTAAACACACGTTCCTGTAAGCAACTTCGATATCTTCTTCAGTCATTTCAACTGTCTCATCACTTTCGTAGCCAGTAGCAACCCGAGAGGTCCCTTTGCTTTTTATTCCCGATGAGTCTTCTTTGTCCGGTTTTGCTAGCTCAACCTCGTACATCTCTTTCCACGACTTGGCTTGTTTGCAAAGCTCTTTCTTTGAAGCCGTGGAGTTTTCTTTTTCAGAAGAAGTTTCCATTTTTCTAAGTTCCTTCACTACGCGAGGGACAAAGCTCCACAGCTCCGTAACTGATGCAATGTCCTACAGTTGACAACATTCGAGTTAATAAATTTAGATAGACGTTTTGATTCAACCAACATTATTCTCAAAGAAACTGATCACAGTCTTAACAAACGCCAAAGAGTAAGTAACAACTTTATAAAAGCTCTAGAAATAATGTACTAAAGCGACCATTGATAAGCAACTATTATTGTTCCAAGAGACTAACCTGCTTCTGCTCAAGAGAATCTATGGCGTCTTGTAAACAGGTTAAGACTCCTTCTGCAGCTATTCGCTTGATCTCACCTGGCTCTGGCTGTTACAATGGTTAGACAGCAGAAACAAACGAACAAATATTTTGGAACAAAGAACATAGATAATGCCCCTTACTTTCTCCTCCTGACTCTCTAGCCATGAGATGGTTTGAGTTAAGTCATCCCTCGCCCATTTCTTCACCTCGGTAACAGAAAAGGGCTCTTTCACAAGATTCGCAACTGATCTATCCTGTGAAGATACGGAATTAAACAATGAAAAACCATTGATTGGAACAAATAAGTTTCCTTTTGTTACCAAATCCATCAGTTATAGATGAAGATTTAGACAGACCTTGGATGAAGCAGATGGTGTTCCCCTTGTTACTGGTTTTTTCTCTACTTGCTTCTCAGATTCTCTCTTTTCTGGAATAAATCAATGAGAAAAGTTATTATCTTGTTCACCACTGAACCAAGTGATATTCATGAACATCAGGAGGCAAGAAGATAGTTTAAACAGTGAGTGATGCCAACTAAAGCTTTTCCAAAGTGTTTTTCGTTTACCTCGACTAGTATTTTGGGGAACACTGTTTTTCCTCCATGGTTTTCCAGCATGCATAAGGTATTGCTCAATATCCACCAACTTCTTCTGCGTGTAACACTCAGTTATCCACTCCTGAATACAGTTAAAACATCAGCACAAAGGAGAAACTGAACAGTACATATTGGATCCCTTACAACAGTCAAAAGTGGTAGTAAACCTTTGAGACAATTGTTCCATTGTTGGTTTCAACTTGACGAAACTTTGGAGTGTTGGGAAAAGCACAGATCAACAACGTAGAGTCAGAGTTCCAGTCAGGTTGATATTTAGCACCCATCGCCAAGGCCTGTGACCTTAATGTACTTCTCTCAGGGTTAACAAAACCCGAGAGCACAAAAGCAACTCCTTCCTGCACAGTTTACTCTTTAACTCCATAAAAACTAACATGATAGACAAAATTATATAGTTTCAACAAACTCAATATAGGAACACAGACCATAAGTTTAGAGAATCCAGAGGTATTTGAACTTGACTCAGCTAACATTTTCCCGTGTTCCGGATTGTTGGAAGGTACATTTCTATCCTCATCAACTTCATCTTTTGGCTTCTTACTATGAGAATTACTTGGACTAGTCTCAGGATCCCTTGAACTAATCCAAGAAGGAAGATTTCGCTTCTGCGACATCTTTTCCTTTCACACTATAGAGACTAGTCTAGACAAGAAAACAGCCTTCTTCTCTATGTTCCTACAAGGAGATACTATCTAAGACCTTAGCTACTTGAAACCTTAAGGCAGATATTGCTATTGCGTCTAAGAGACAACAAAGCGGTGCAAAACCTGCAAAAGAAGGGCGAAAATGCTAGAGGTGATTCATTGGAAAAAAACCAATCTGAATACAAAAAAAAAAAACGCATCAACTTTTCAATTTCATCTCAAAATTAAAAATTTCGTCGGAATCCCGAATTTGAGGATAAACCCAGACTGAATTAGACAAGGGTTTTTCCATTACAGGATCAAAAAGCTAAGAATCACAGAACCAACAACAGTTTCTCAGTAGCATCAATTAGAATTCGAGTTCCGATCGAATTGAGAATAGAAACACGGGAATTCGGAATCAATACGAAATCAATGGGGGAAAAAAAAACAGCCATTGTATTGAACTTGTACAAAACCCTTTAGAAATCTACCAATCTCCATGAACATGAGAGTATTAGCAAGGAACCTTAACGCGCACCGTGCTTCTTTTCTTCTTCCTGATCGAGAGCATCAGACTGGTGAAATCATCGACAGTGTCAACGTTATGTAGAAACCGGAACTGAGTCAGAACAAAATTTGTGTATTAAAACTTGAGGAATGGAATATTTATCAAAAGTGGACGTGCCGGAGTGGTTATCGGGCATGACTAGAAATCATGTGGGCTCTGCCCGCGCAGGTTCGAATCCTGCCGTTCACGCTTTTTAACCCTTTTTTTTTTACTTTGACTATGCGGATCGTGTTTTTACTGTTTTGCCCATTATGGTTTTTATTTGTATAACTATAAACCAGAGCAAAAGACTCGAGGTTTGTATGTGGGAACGTAAATGGCTTTTACAACCAAATTGGAGGTGAAATGTATTCATGTAAATGATAATTACCAAAGTCAAAGACTCGATCATCAAGGGAACACATGAACTAAAAATCAAGTATCGGTTTTCATTTATGTTATTTTTTTGCCAACATATGAAGTCTCCAAATGGAGCTCAAGGACAATACAATACATTAGATAGACAACCCTTTAAGAACAGCTTGGGGAGCAAAATAAGAATAAGGTCGCTCGTGGACCTAATTAAAGAAGAAAACGCTATAAGGTTAGCTAGCTCTCCACTATGATGTAATGATGTGAGCTTTACTAATTAGTCATACTCATCTTTGTGTTCTCTCGTGTGTTTAACTCGAGTCATCTTTTTTTTTTTTGCGCTCTTATCCTTCACTGGTCTCTAATTAAAGGAGTTTCTATGTAGAATTCATGTTAAAATAGTACACTAAATGAAAATGATGGATTTAGTTTGTTGTTTTCATGTTTTTTCCCTTTAGTGTTGTACGATTATACGTGGAGGTGTATTAAGTCAAGTCTAGCTAGTGCCAATACCAGTTACCGTTTCATTTTTACTTTTGCAGCTGGAGGTTCATGAAAGAAGTGCAAAAACCTCATTGCTTCATATTAAGCCAACGACAAATACCATATTAAGTAAGAAAGCCACACACCTTGAAGGTGAATCATTTGTGTTATAGATTGTTTTTTTTTTTTTTTGCTAAGAATGTAAATAGAATTACAAGAAGCTCGTTGAACTAGGCGCTATACATTGGATACGGTTACGAGGCAAGGGAACATCCTCTTTTCTACGAAATCTAATGCTTGTCCATATCATAACTCTCTGTGTCATGTCCCATCTTCATACATCCTCAAAACCCTTGGTCATGTGTTAATGTTTATAGCTCGAAATTATAGAACACAATTCCAAGACTAGGTTTGTGAATAATACCGAGTCAAAACATGTCAATCTATACTGTCTATCTTTAACATTCCCTTCTTTAACCGTATGATGTTAAAGACTCTTGAAACCGATCCCGAAATTTCAGGGGTTTTTTTGGTCATCTCGGCTTCTTTTTCTTAAAAGTTACGTACTACTAATAGATTAGTAAGTAAGTCTCGTCACGACTCACGTGGTCAGTGATACATGCTTATAGAAGTATTCAATAGTTTTTGGCACGTTCTGTCTCCGCTTTTCTCGCTCGACTTTTCCCATCTTCTTTTCACCGTCGTGTTGTCGTTCGTTTGTTCGAAGCTACAATAAATAATATAACAAATGCGTATTATCAGCTTAATCTGTTTGATTAATTTACCTTAAGTCTTGCTTCGAGTCACTTCAGATTGCGTAGATGAAAACGAAGTATATTGGAGTATTTAGTCACCCTGCTTTTATTCTTTTGTAACCATTTACTTAAATCAAATATAATTGTCAAATCCATTTCCCCAAAAATGATATAAAAAAGCCTAAAAGGTAAATTAATCAACCGATCACAACTTGGCCTGTTTTTTTTCACCCTAGCGGAAACTGATTTTTTAAAGTTAACAAGTTTG